AATGAGATCTATTTGTTAAATACACCATGACTAGCTTAGATAGGTGTCCCCAATTAGGCTTACTATTGTAAGCTAGAGCAATCTATGACGCATTAATAAAGTTTATTATTATTATTATTATTATTATCGTCTTATTTGCATTTATATCTATGACGCTAATATTATAATATTAACATTATTGACACAATCGCAATCATAATCATAACACAATTTCAATCATGCTCTTGTGCTTTAAATCATGTAACAGCTATAGGATGGACTCATAGTACTTCATTTTTTTATCTAATGTATATGTTTATGCTTGCGATTATGTATATTATGCATAAAATAGTGTTCTTCATGGTTCCCTGCGACATCTTGAAAGGTAGCCGTGCCTTTGCATCGAAGCGAGACGACCGTTGAGCGTGCAATGATAGAAACCTTTTTTCACACCTACAGACAATTATTCACAGGTATCTATCATTGCACGCTCAACGGTYGTCTCGCTTCGATGCAAAGGTACGGCTACCTTTCAAGATGGCTCACGTAACCGTGAAGGAGACTAAATATTGGTGGTATAGTAACGCTTTCACAGCTYMTGATTCCCATATTGTTGATTCCCGAAAATCTCGCGTTTATCTAACAGAGAATTTGGAAAAAAATCTGATTAATTACACATACCAGAGCAATTCTTGCCTTTCCARCCAGAAGAAGTACATTTGCAAGAGTAGTTATCAGGGTTTTCTGATGAACATGCGCCATAAGGCTTGCAGGGCTCCTCTTGAACACACATGTCTTTCCCTGTCAAGACAAGGAATTATAATGATTAAACCAGGGAAAAGATTGATCTTTGACTTTGAGTTTTTTTTAGAATTTCGAACTAACGGTTTGAAGTCAATATATTTGCTATTAAAAAGAAATCTGATATTATTATTGTCTGTTATTTGTTATTTCCTTCATTTTGGTGTTCTATACATGTAGTTTAATAGATCGAAGAGACCCCCAAAAACAATGGTAAGAAAAGTAAGAATAATGAAAATGCTTAGACTAAGGTTCATCAAAAACGCTCAAAATAGCCCAATTTTGATCAAAATGTATGGGCTATATCCCACCAAAAACGTCCAAATCAGGTCATTTTCTATGAAAATGTATGCCCTATGGCCCGCATAAAACGCTGAAAACGATCGATTTTTGATCAAAATTAATAGACTGTAGCCCACCAAAAAACTGAAAATCAACCAATTTTGTTAAAAATTCATTGTTTATAGCCCAACGAAATCGCTCAAAATGACCCATTTTTAATCAAAATACATGTTCTATAGCCCACCATATTCGATCAAAATGACCCATTTTTGATGAAAATATATGGGTTATAGCCCCCAAAACACTCAATATGACCCAATTTTGAAAAAATGCTTAGCCTAAGTCTCATCAAAAACGCTCAAAATCACCCATTGAATAAAAATGCATGGTCAATAGCCAACCAATATCACTCAAAATGACCAATTTTTAATCAAAATACATGGTCTATAGCCAATCAAAATAACTCAAAATGACCCATTTTTCATCAAAATACATGTTCTATAGCCAATCAAAATCGATCAAAATTTCATTTTCAGCGATTTTGATGGGCTATAGCCCATGGTTTTTGATCAAGAATGGGTCATTTTCAGCCATTTTGATGGGCTATAGCCTATGGTTTTTGATCAAAAAATGGGTCATTTTGAGCGATTTTGATGAGCTATAGTCATTGGTTTTTGATAAAAAATGGGTCATTTTCAGCCTATGGTTTTTGATCAAAAAATGGGTCATTTTGAGCGATTTTGATGGGCTATAGTCCATGTTTTTTGATCAAAAATGGGACAATTTGAGCGATTTTAATGTCCTATAGTCCATGGTTTTTGACCAAAAATGGGTCATTTTTAGCAATTTTGATGGGCTATAGCCCATGGTTTTTGATCAAAAATGGGTAATTTTCAGCGATTTTGATGGGCTATAGCCCATGGTTTTTGATCAAAAATGGGTCATTTTCAGCGATTTTGATGGGCTATAGTCCATGCTTTTTGAGTCAAAAATGGGCAATTTTCAGCGATTTTGATGGGCTATAGTCCATGGTTTTTGATC